ACCCCCCACCCGCTTTTTTTGGTTGGCTCCGGTGAGGCTGTGGACATGTTATCTAGCGGGTGTGATCTGGCGTCTTGGTTGGGCTATGGACATGTAGGCGAAAAAAAGTTCAGATGTTGAAAAAAGAGGTTCAGGAACGTTTTGCGGGCATTGGCTCCGTTTGCGTAGGCAAAAAAATGTTCAGAGGTTGAAAAAAGAGGTTGAGGGGTTGAATAAATAGGTTGAGGTGTTGAAAAAATAGGTTAGGGGGTTGAAAAAATAGGTTAGGGGGTTGAAAAAATAGGTTAGGGGGTTGAAAAAAGAGGGCGGGGGGTTGAAAAAATAGGTGGAGGTTGGAAAAATAGGGTCGGGGGGTTGGAAAAATAGGTGACCCCTCGAACTCACCGAGCGCCTTCGCAAGCGATGTGTAGCCCTGCAGTCAAAGGACTTGAGGGCATGGTTCACTTGAGCACTCATGCACAGAAAAGGCGTGCAAAAAAAAAAGGTGATCACAGGTGCTTTGAGGCCCTTCCCATCGCTTCCCATCATGCGACGCGTTTTTGCGCAAGGTCGACAGATCTTGGTCTTCCACATCGAGCTACAAGGGTTGCTTGGCGAATCCGGCGCGACAGCTCCCCTCCCCCAGCATGGCTGAATGGACAGCTCTTTCAGTCGGAGTCAGGTCCATTGGTCCATTCAGCAAATGGATGAGTTAGGTCATGTTATCCTATGAATTCGTCACAGTATTAGTCACTGCTGTTTGTCCTGAACTGTCCAAGCCCAACTGAACCACGGGGATTGGCTGTTTGGTGAGGCTGGAGCGTGCCAGTATGGCCAAGAGACGGGGTCACAAGAGCTACCAGGACCGGCTTCGTGGGGCCGTTGGTGCAGAGACCTTTCAGTTCTTTGGAACTGCGGATGCATCGGTTGAACAAACCACATATCCGTTGTACCGTGAATGTCTGACCAAAGAGGTCTGCAAGTTCTCTATTTTTTTCAGGACAATGCCTTTACAAAGGTGGGGCGCAAAGTCATTACAGCTGGACGCCCCAGCTGTTAGCTTTGAGCAGATGGGTCCAGATGGGTCCAGATGGGTCCAGATGGGTCCAGATGG